CCCCCCCCCCCCCCCGGGGGCTGGAGGCGGCCGATGCAGGTCATAATTTTCTACAGAAAGTCGATGAATTTCAGAGTGCTACGTCGGTGACTAGCCGCTTAAGGCAACCCTCCACAGGATGACGGAGCTCAGCACTGAAACTCACTATAAACTCTATCTTTTAAAACCTTAACATAGGGAACCCACGTTCTTATTTGTAAACTGCAAATGGAAATTAAATAAGGGGTAAAATCTTACCTGTTTTGTTTTATTCTTGAATCTGCTACGGTGCGAAGTGAAATAGAAGTTGTTTTGCGATACGAAAACGATGTTCAAGTCAACGATTTGACCGTAGTTGATTTCACAATGCTTTATCTGGAATTGTATGTGGTTTGTCTTGCATTTTTCTGTTTGTATCACGCGGCTGTTATTGTCGTCTCGTGTTTCATTGTTGGTTATTAATTTTTATTAATAAATTTATAATAAACCAATAAAACGTTGACTTGAACATCGTTTTTGCATCATCATAAAACAACTTCCATTTCACTTCGCACTACAGCAGATTCAAGAAAAGAACAAAATAGGTAGGCTTTTATCTCTTATTTAATTTCCAACTGCAGTCTACAAATATGAGCGTGGGTTCCCGACGCAGTTTAATAATGTGTTTGTTGCTGCTGACCTGCTATTTATATCTTACTAGATCATACCCAAAATCAGCCAGTATGCAGCTGAGAAAAATAAAAGGGTAACTCATCATTTCCCCGCTAGTTAATTTCCTGATTTGTAGAGAGACAAGCTGTCTTGTCACATAGCTCTTTTAAGCATGACAGCACTGACGCGATACATTGTGGCATATAATTTTTAAAAATACATTTAGGCTTCCGAAATGGCATTATCAAAAAGATTATCTTTAATCAGCCGCTATAGTATTCTTGCATTTTACCCTAGCGCCATCAAACTTGTGACATCATCAACAACAACAACAACAAGCTTTATTTGCGTGACTTTTCACATTTGTATTAACATTTATTTCATAATTTTTAATGTCGCGTGTCATGCAAAGAATGTGAAATTCAAACTTGTTCTAAAACAAATTTTTACTTTTTTCCCTAGGGGATTTTCCCCCTGTAAAATCGACGCGGAAGCTGGTCAGGAAATTTCAAAAACCCTCAATAATTTTTTTCAGTTTACTGTGGAACGCCCCTCCGACCTAAAGTAGTTAACCCTAAGCGGTACCAGTACACCCATATTAAAAGCTGATCCAAATCACGTACATTAAAGGGGAACGTAGAAAATGTTGAGCAGTTCTCCTTTTGGGTGTACACAGACTATATTTGATCGATGACATCACATGCGAATCAGCCAGTAATGTTTTCACTGCGGCAACGGGGAATTCCCTGACTTAAATCCAGTTCTAAGAAAAACAGCAAAGGAAAGAGACTGCAAGATTCTGGGAAAAATTTGCATAAAGAACTTCGTTGAATCATTTGCCAACAACATGGCGCACCCTGCTGTCACTTGTTTCAGATGTCTAGGAAGTTTTGTATTTTTTGCCCTTATGGCTATTCAGTGTGGTTTTCTAGTTTCCTTCCCAGCAAAGTACAAAGATGAGCAATTATGGTATTTGGCATCGTTGTTCTATCTCCCTTCTTTTGGATTTTGGATTTATATCATTACTTGTGGCAAAGCAAATCTTTTCAGATTCTTTATCGTCTGGACTCTTTACATGTGGGCCGGTTTGCTTCCAAATATCATCATAATATTTGGAGTTATCCTCGATGATATTGGAAAGGAAAGCCCTCTTACCCCACAAGCCTTAAAGATAGTACTCTGTATCACTCCCCTTCTTCTACTGCTCTTGGTAAACACCGCGAAGGATTCATATGACTCTGATGGGAACAAAGAGCTGGTTGCAAAGTTGTCCGTCCAGATGGCTATAGATCTCTTCGACGCCGTCGAGATGCTGGACATAATTTTGGACGACAAAGAACACAAATTCAACATTTCCAAAAAATATCTAGACGCGATGATATCTGTAGTGTGCATCAGTTTCTTCCTATCGCCATGGCAAATGGCGGAAAACAAAGTTCGTGACCGCTGGGAGCCCACGACTCGCTACAAGACATCGTTACTTCGTAACGTGCTTGAAATGTTCGGAGTGAATTTGGCGTTCTTGATCATTCGTGTGTTGGTGCTCGTAAACTATGAAAAAGATGAGACCATTTTTATAGCGAAGAACGTCATTGCAATAATCCTCTCGGTGTTGGAAGTAGTTCATCTTTGTGTATCACATTAGATGTAGATGTTGGCAACCACACGATGTAATCGAGAAACTGCATCTTTCAAAATTGTTGAAGTTCCCTTCTGACAGGATTTTAGTAAAAAATAGTGTGTGCACTCTATGTGGCAGATACTTGATACGTTGTTTAACTCAAAAGAAGTTAAGATGTTTATAGGCCTTTCAGACAGGACACTGATTATTGCCTTTCGTTATTCTGATTATTGTTATTTGAGTCGTTGTAATTTTGGGTAGCCAGTAAAAGAAGTAGTGTAAACCAATAGAAATGATGATGATGATTATCATTAAAAGACACTATTATTATTTTTTTTTTTTTTACCCACGAAGCACTGAGGAGTTCTTATAAACTCGTTTAAACGTAACCGTGCTTTCCAGATTGAATTGAAGTTTCGGAGTGTTGGTTTCCGAAGAAGGGGAAAACCGGATTGCCCGTACAACCAACAGCAAACTCAGCCCACATGGTGGGAGGTGAGTTCTCTCACCACTACGCCACCCTGATGACGTTAAAACAATAAAATTAAAAAGAATTCTTGTATTCTTATATAATATTGCTATAAGCTTCCTTTATGTGCTCCTGAGAATATCAGGCCTTTCTATTAAGCTTTTCTTAAGCCCGCTTTTACCTTGAGTGATTGTCAGAGCAAGAAAGACTACGAACATAGCGCAAGAACACGGATTAATCCGCTGAGTGTCAGCATCGCGACATCGTTAGGGCAGATATGTATGATTTTACTATAAATCTTCTTTGCAAACAGCAATCCCTTCTTTTCGTATACTTATCGCCTGTTATCAAAAATACATCTCTGGGAAAAGGTGCATGAATCCTCTCTATTTTCTCGGAAAACCTATCGCCCATTTTGAGCTGTTTGCATTGTCATACGAAATGTCGGAATGACGCATCCTCGTTCGTTCAGTATGTACCTAAATGAATTAAATTTTTAACAGCATGTCTCCTTTCTGCATGTCTTTTTGTTGTCGTTGTTTAATTCCAAAATATAGTGTTCAATTTACTACTGATTAGTGAAATATAACCGGCAGGGTAATTCACTAAAATAACAATTCTCTTTCTTAGAAATTCTCAGTGACGCTTCTGCAGTTTCTTGGAATAGGTGTTTTTAATTACCATATAAATCTTGACATATTTGAGCAGTTTCTGTAACTTTCTTGCGTCTTTGACGCTCACTCGTTGCTGTTTAGCGTTAGTTCTAATTATATATTATATAATTATATATATACTGCACCAGTAGAAAATTGAAATTATCCAGTCATCGCAAAGGGTGACGCCACACAGCAACACTGAAAACACGTTATATTCTTATCTGACGTCTCGTTTTACAAGTTGTCGATGTGGCGTTTTTCTATTGGACAAGATTACATTTCGTTATGGGTAAAAGGTACAACAGTCTAACATTTGCGGCTTATCAACACCATTCGTCATGTCTTCGTGCTCTTCGTGTATCGTTTGGAGCGGGCGTGTAGCATTTTTCGCCCTGTTAGTAACTCAGGGGATTTTGCTGGCCTCTTATCCGGCAAAATACAAAGACGATTCTGGTTGGTATGGCGCAGCTGCTTTGTACGCCCCGTCTGCTTTGTTGTGGCTTTACCTGCTCTGGGCAAACGCTGCAATTCTTGGCGCTTTATTTTGTGTGTGGGCATTTTACATTATAGCCGGCCTCGTACCAAGCATTGGAATTGTGTTCGGGGTTGCAGGAGATGGCTTAGGAAATAATGACTTGACACTTGGTCCGATCATTCTGAAGGCAACACTGTGTGCAACACCTCTTCTGCTGATAGCACTGCTGAACACTGCGAGCGATACAAACGACGCCGACAATAAAGCAATGGTTTACAAGTTGTGCGTCCAATTGGCAGTGGATCTGTTAGATGCAGTGGAAATGATAGACATCGTTCTGGACGAAAAGGAACACAACTTGGGTATATCTAAAGGATTCGGCATAGCAATGATTGCTGTGGCCTGTTTTAGTTTTCTGCTGTCGCTATGGCCGATGATAGAGGCTGGAATGGATGAAGAAACGGAAAGGAAGTCAATAATAATACGCAACTTTGTTGAGATATTTGGGGTCAATGTAGTCTTCCTTATTATTCGCATGGTGATAGTAATTAAATATAACAAGGATGAGTCAATCTTTATCGCCAAGAACATGATCGCTATCATACTCTCTAGTCTTGAAATCCGCGACAACTTTTGATTAGAGGAAGGTACGCCTTTCTATGTATTGGTATTATTAAGACAATGATTCTCCAGAAAAAGATATATCCAAAGACTAACAAATCGATAAAATGGACTGATAGGAATGGACGCAGGATCAGATGATTAAAGATTTGTTACAGGTAACGTAACAATCGTTAAAGTTCCTTCATGCATGCATTTAAAGAATTACATGTACATAACAATCTTCTAATAGTACTTGAGATTAAATAACGGCTGTATTCAAATATGTGTCAGCTCTTTTTTTCAATAATTGTTTTATTGTTCATTCAAAATAATTCCTAGTTTAAAAACAAAGCTAAAACATGCTTACCTCCATAGATCCATCGATGTTAAGTTCATCTTCGATAGTGCACGTTTAGGGTTGTATAGCTCCTCAAATATTCTCCAAATAGCAGATGTAGTACTTCGAGTTGTCTTCTTGCTGCTATTGCCATGTTTTTAGCTATTTTTTCGCCAAGTCCTTACCCTTGAAACGAGTGAAATGTCCGCCATTTTTCAAGTTCACAACCAAAACAACTCAACTTTGTCCCCAGGTCCTCTCGGTTAATTGTGCATTAACCTGCAAGAACGCTGCATTTTTGACGTCATTTCCTTGCTAAACACAAAATTCTTACAAATTTGGTCATCAGTAACTGGTTATGGTGAATTAAACGCGTGCTTTTAACCAATCAGAACCAGGGAAATGTTTTGAATGAGTAGTAATTTAGATTTTTACACCCTAAGCAGTACCAGTACACCCATTTTAAAAGCTTATCTAAATCACCTACATAAAAGGGGAATGTAGAAAATGTTGAGCAGTACTCCTTTTGATGACAAAAACTAATTCCCTAAAGAGGGTTGGGTGTACACAGACTATATCTGATGACATCACATGCGAGTCAGCCAGCACTGTCTTCATTGCGGCAACGGCGAATCCCCTGATGTAAATCGAGTTCTCGGAAAAGCAACAAATGAAAGAGACTTCAAGATTCTGGGAGAAATTTGCATAAAAAAACTTCGTGAATAATTTGATTAATGCGTTTGAAGACAACATGGCGCACCGCGCTGTCATCTGTTGGAGATGTCTAGGTTTTGTATTTTTTGCACTTATGGCTATTCAGTGTGGTTTTCTAGTTTCCTTCGCAGCAAAGTACAAAGATGCGTCATTATGGTATTTGGCATCACTTTTTTTATGCCCCGTCTCTTTTAGTGTGGGTTGGTGCCCTTTGTCTACGCAAAGCAGATCTTCGCAGATTCTTTATCGTCTGAACTCTGTACATGTGGCTCGGCTTGCTTCCAAATACCGTGATAATATTTGGTTTTGTGGTTGATGATATTAAAGAGGAGAGCCCCCTTACTCCACAAGCCTTGAAGATAGTGCTCTGTATTACCCCTCTTCTTCTACTGCTTTTGGTAAACACCGCCAAGGACTCGTATAGCTCCGGTAACAAAGAGTTGGTTGCAAAGTTGTCCGTCCAGATGGCTATAGATCTCTTCGACGCCGTCGAGATGCTGAACATTATTTTGGACGAGAAAGAACACAAATTCAACATTTCCAAAGGGTATGAAATCGCAATGATATGCGTAGTGTGCATCAGTTTCTGCCTATCGCCATGGCAGATGGCGGAAAACAAGGTCTCAAGTTGGAGTAAACCCAGGACGCGCTACAGAACCTCCTTACTTCGTAACGTGGTTGAAATGTTTGGGGTAAATGTGGCGTTCTTGGTCATTCGTGTGTTGGTGTTTGTGAACTATGGAAAAGATGAGACCATCTTTATAGCAAAGAACGTCATCGCAATTATCTTGTCGGTGTTGGAAGTAGTTCATCTTTGTGTTTCACATTAGATGTTGGCAGCCACACGATATAATCGAGAAACTGCATGTTTCAAGATGAAATTGTTGAAGTTCCCTTCTCACAGGATTTTAGTAAAAAATGTTGTGTACACTCTATAGCACATGTAGCAGATGCTTGATACGTTGTTGAATTCAAAAGAAGTTAAGAACATAGGCCTTTCAGATAGGACACTGATTGATTATCTTTCGTTATTCTGATTATTGTTGTTTGAGTCGTTGTAGTTTTGGGCAGCATTAATTAAAAAAGCAGCGGTGTAAACTAATAGAAATGATGATGATGATGATGATGATGATAATGATGATGATGATGATGATGATAATGATGATGATGATGATGATGATGATGATGATGATGATGATAATGATGATCATTATTAAAAAACATTAACTTGTGATTTTTTTTACCCACGAAGCACTGGCGAGTTCTTATAAAATCGTTTAAACGTGCCCGTGCTTTCCAAATTGAATTGAACTTTGGGAGTGTTGGTTTCTAAGGAAAAGGAAAATCGGATTGCCCGGAGAAAAAACCTCAGTCTCGGAGCAATGGTTACAACCAACAGCAAACTCAGCCCACATGGTGGGAGGTGAGTTCTCTCACCACTGCGCCACCCTGATGACGTTAAAGCACTAAAATTAAAAAGAATTCTAGCGTTCTTGTATAATATTTTCTGAATTAGCTATAAGCTTCCTGCGGCAAAGCAGTGACTCCAGAAGAGCATTAAAACTTGCTTAGTATTTTAGCTGAAGCGGGGTTTCAAATTACAAAACGCTATTGGATGAATGTTACTCAGTCATTCCGCAAGCCATGCCACATGCCATTCCGCAAACTCATTTCTCCTTTTACCCTCAGCGAATTCAGACAC